CACTTGCAATCCACTGAAGCTCAGGTGCCACAAGAATTCAAGGCCTCTATTCGTGGTGCCACTGCGTCATGGATCCGTGGCAGCCTCAGAAGCCCATCCTCCATGGATTCCATGGATTCCTTGGATGACTGGAACTTGGGTGCAGGAAAGGGTGCCAAAATGGATCGGGCAGTGCTTCTCAATGACATTACCAAAATTGCCAGCCACAGCCTCAGTCAGCCTCAGTTGCCCTGAGCTACACCTGCCTACCGTGATTGAACTGATTGAACGGATTGAACCAATAGCAATATGCAAAATATGCAAACTCTACCTGCATTGGACTTGGTATGAGGGTTGGCCCTGAAGTTCCCGCTGAGCTTTGTTGACTTGCCAGCCTGTGCGCAGCTCTCAGTTTGTGGACTGAAGACATAGAACTAGCGTCCCTACCAGAGGCCTCAGCTCTCCAACGGCAGCTGTTTTTAGCTGTCGTTCTATTCATCAAGCTGTCCACTGGTTGATGATCACTTCCCGAACGTGGTCATTTGGGGGTTGTGGTATACTCCATTTTCAGACAGACCCATACAAGAAATAGTCAGGGAAGTAGTTCAGAACGAATGCAAACTATTTTGGAACAAGAGGAGCACAAAAAGAAGCTGGTCAAGAAATGCAAAAAACATGTAAACATGCTCCATTCACCAGATGTTGGCACAGCCACAGTGATAAAAAAAAGTATTTGTCACACTTTTTTGTGCATGGAAGAGCGCGCAAGACACAGTGTTTGAAGTCTTTTCTTCGTCGTTTCAGACACTGCCAAAAATAGCAAGGCACGTTTGCTTCAAAAATCAGGGAATGCTGTGCCCATTGGCAACTTGGGCTTTGTTCTGCATACATGCTAAAAAGTGATAAAACACGAACCCTCTATGCTGTGTCCCAACCCGAGCCAACACGATTTGTACCAAAGGATAGGTAGGTAAGCTGCACCCCTGGCTGGCATGCCTGTGTAACAAGGCCCGTTTGCCTCGCTTTGGTGTGGGCCAACATGGAGAATAAACGTGTGCAAAACACCCACAGCAACGACAACAGCCCTGTAGCAGGTATTGGGATCTGAGAACGAATCCAGGGGGTGACCCATTGGTAGCTATTTGAGTTGTGTGGGAATGTCAACAAATTGTTCTAGTGAAAGCACGACCGGAAATCAGAGGGAACAGATCGAATTAGAGTTAAGGAAAGAAAGACTTAACAAATCTTGACAACCTACACCGACAGATAGCTGACGGCTGAAACAGGCTGAAACAGGCTGAAACAGGCTGAAACAGGCTGAAACAGGCTGAAACAGGCTGAAACAGGCTGAAACAGGCTGAAACAGGCTGAAACAGGCTGAAACAGGCTGAAACAGGCTGAAACAGGCTGAAACAGGCTGAAACGACGCATTTCCGCTGAGGCCTATGCAATCTTCCAAGGCTTGCGAAGTGCAGAATCTGCCCAGCATCCCCGGCATGGTACAGTGTGATTCAGTGAGATGGTGAGTGCGATATAGTACCATTCTTGCAAGTCTTGAGCAAGTTTGAGTGAGTAGATGATGTAGATGCGAGTGGTCTTACTTTTTAGGTGGTGTGCTGAAAACTTTCACAAGAAGTTGCTACCCTTCTTAGCGGAGCAGTGTGCTGCCAAGAGTGCGATGCGATGCGATGCGTGTTTTCACAACGTGGCACCGCGTGAAATCTATTTGAACTTCCTGTGATGACAGTTTTTGAAGCCAATATGGGTATGGGTCAATACCTATAGATACATTTTTAGTGGGATGAACATCCATTTACCAGGTCCTGTACAGATCCAGACTTCAGAGCTTCGTGACACTTCGTGACTCTAGGATCCACACTTACGAGACAATCCAGCTGAAAAGACTTCTCGAGAGGACCCTAGAGGCACCAGTTGGCACCGGGAAGGTACCGGGAAGCCTTCCCCACTCCCTCCCCACTCTCTGCCGTTCCACGCTCTCCGCCCCCCCCCTGCTCCCCCCCTCCCATATCATTGTATCAGCTCTCAGTTTAAACCATCGTGTCAGCAACACAGCTGGTTTGGCTTTTTAGTAGCATGCAGTAGGGCTATGTAGGGCTGATATTCTTGGACAGAAAGTGCATGAATCGTAGTTTGTGTACAATCCGCCTCAAGTCTCAACATGTCTCAACTCCCCGGGCTTTGTATTTTCTTTCACGGGGGGGGAGCCTCTATTCATAATGTTTTGGTGTTGTTTTATCATAACGGCATACTTCGAATACTGGACTGACAGCCCCAGCTCCTCGCCTTCTAGGCTCTGGATGCTGAAATCCTGAAGAGTAAGAGTCCTTAGTCCGTGGTGTGTGGAGAGGTCTGGGAATCCCGCTTCTTTTAATATGTCTTAACATAGCTTAACATGTCTTAACACCATGTAGAAACATGGTCTTTCAGGGCCTCTGAAATGAAACATTGCAGGCATTCCAGCAGGAAACAATAACTTCCCTTGTGCTCGAGGTGCTCATGCATTTAGTGGCTGCTCAGCCATTCTTGTCCTTGTTTTGGGGGAGAGAGTGGTACTGGCAGGTGTCACAACCTGAGATGCAGATAGATGCAGTCAGACATGACATGTGACGCATATTGAAACAAGCGAAACTAGTATTGACGGTGCCGTAAAACTCTCAGGTCGGCCACGTGCGCGCCGTGCTGCTGCCCGAGAAGGACCGGAAATTGTCACTGGGTCACGTCTGTGAAACATGACAAGGGCAAAAGTGATGCAGTACGTCAGTACGATGCAAGGTGCCAAATTCTGAAGGATAGTTTTCCTCTTTGATGAAGTGTAGTTTGATACTGGTATTGTTGGCGTTTGATCAGAGATGAACAAGGCTATTATGACCAGGAGATGCAGTCTGCCATCTGCAGATTTTACTTTGTGTCAATGCAGAAGTAAATTGGCCAGCTTTCAGGGTGCGCCAAGAGAGATATTGGCAAATGCCTCAGGGACGAACTGCAAAGTTGAATCGCACTCGTCCTGAAATGTTTGGCATTTTATAGTGCAACTTTAGGAATAAGCGCAGAGACACCCAACCATCACCCAGGAATACATACACAAATACCAATGTATTTGCAAAGCTTTGCACCTGACATCGGGCTGAAAATGCTGAAAGATTCTGGCAATTCTCAAAGCAGGTGAGACTCAAGGGTCGGCCAAACCTATGTTTTCATGATATTTTGGATTTTCTATGATTTTCCCTAGAACTTATGTTTTTTCATGACATTGAATGACTTTTCCATGTATCAAAGTTTTTTATCCGAGGCTTGTACTGGCTCTCTCGAAGATCCAAGTGAACTGGAGTGTGGACCTCATTTTCTGGCCGTTCTCGAGGTCGAGTGCGTCCAGTGGGAGTCCAGTGCTTTTGAAAACGATCAAGAGATGCGAACAGGCCGTTAGAAAACAAGACGTGAATGCAAACAGACTGGCAATTCCTCAGGTTAGAGGAATCAGACTGGCTAGGTATCTTCAGTTGTGCAATCGTGTGACTCAAGTGACACAAGGTAAAAAAAATGGTGCGTTCAACTCTACCAGACTGTTGCATGATGCAGTTGCACTTAAATGCTGACGCTCATAACATTTCATGCACCTTGATGCACTTTCAAGGCGTGTGAGAGAGGCCAATGGCATTGTTTCGGATGGGTCAGATACTGAGAGAAGAGGAGAGCCACAGCCAATCCTCTGTACAGAGTCTATCAATGCCAATCAACAAGAGCAATGAACTTGATGATGCATTGAGTATATGGATCATCTATATCACAAGTTTGATTGCTTACAATTTACAAGTTTCCCTGCTTCCGGAATAGGCTTGTTTACAGCTCGATGGAGGGCTTAGATGAGGCTTGGGCAAAGTTTCTCAGTGCTCAGCATGGCGTCGGAACTGATGTTGAAGGCAATGAACCACAAATAGGGAATTTCCATGAATTTCCATGAATTTCCAATGTCAATCTTTAGGGACACCAAAAAGAAGGAATCTGGTGCTGCCTTTCGTAGCACCGACGCTGAGCTGACTTTTCAGGCAGCTCGCATTCTGTCTGCACGGTCTTCCTTTGAGGTGCTGAGAAGATCCCAAATAAACTCCTGGTGTTGAGCCACTGAGTCTCTGTCACATCAGTTCATTGTACGAATTGTACGAATTGTAGTTACGTAGTCCATCAGATTTCAGAAGTTTCATGGCTTCCAAACTGAAGGATCGACCTGTGACCATTTGCAGGTTTTGCAGCTGGAGCCAGGGAGTTCGTTGGACGTAAAGCAGGTGCAGCATTTGTCATACTGGCAACTTGGGGCTCTCTCGGAATACAAAGCGATGCTTCCTTGACCGTTCGCCAAGGTTCGCACTGCTTACCGCAAGCTCGCACTTCGCCTCAGCCATAGATTTCAACACAGGAAGATTTCAATGCCCTTTTTGTTTATTGTGCTCTGTGATGCTCTTTGTGTCTTGCGTTGAAAGTCTTGTCCGCCTGAAGTTCACCTTCATGTTTTATTCGATTGAGAGCAGACAAAAAAGGAGGTGCTGCAGGCAAACCTTCTATTGCTCAAGTGTGCTCAAGTGCAGTTGCATAACCAGATTCATGCGGAGCATATTTCATCGAGGAGGTAATTGTGAACGGCAATCAAATTTATGCAACAAAAATGTATTGTCATGAACATTATTCAAAACAATATCACAAGAGCAAGGTTTCTTTGCATTCATCTTGAAAAGGATGTCAAGTAGAACGGTTTGTTGCAAATGCCAAGGGGCCCAATTCATGCAACATTTAACAAAAGCTGAACATCACAGCGTCAATGTCCAGTGATGCCATACGTGGCTCATGCTGACTTGACATTGCCACATGTCAAGGTTGGATATTTGCATATGCATAGAAGGGAAGGCAAAAACTGAAGCCCTGGAAAGACCTGGAACCTGGAAAGACCTGGAAAGACCTGGAAAGACCTGGAAAGAGCTGCTTGTGGAGTGATTTTTTGATCTGTGCAGATTAGCGAAGATGGAGATCTTGGAGCATCAAGGCTTCCTTCGCTTCCTTTGCTTCCTTGGCTTCGAGCTTTCAAGCGACACAGTGAGTTCAAACGGTTCAGCTGTGAGTTCAACGTGTTGCCTGGAAGGCCATTGACCATTCTTGTCGGAAATGGACCGCCTATCATTGATAGTGAATCAGAGGAAGAGCAGGAGTGCAACGCAAACTTTTGTGCTGGTACACCCTCAGGAATTCCATTCCTTTTTGTCTGTGAACATATTTAGATTGTCGCATTCTGATTGCAGGTTTTCTGGCATCATACATTCAACCATTACAAATGAGGAAACCATTTAAGCCTTTGATACAATAATTTCTCAACTTTGAAGCCAGATTCTGCATGACACAGGGTGTCGGCACATGTGAGGAGCTATTGTGCATACAAGACCCGAAGGCTTCAAAAATTGAGGACTTGACATAAAGTAGTTTTTTTTGTGTTTGCCTGTAGAATGATTGAATTTTGCGTCGTAGTCTTGGAAAACTGCTTACTTCACTACAAAAAACTTGTTTGACAGCATTCGGAGAATCTAATTGAAAGATGAGAGTCTGGTGCGAAACATCCAGGACAGTGCACTTCCAGCAGTATCTGCGTCCCCTGGCAAGAATTGAAAAATTGAATGGATTGCACGATCTCTGTAGGCTATCATGCGGAACAAAGTCAGGGGGTCCTAACAGTTCCTGACGGACTGAATTGATGCCCGGCCATGCTCGCCTTTTCCTTCAGCTCAGTGTCTCAGGTCTCTGTTATCCGCCACTGGAGAGGTGGAAGATGTTCAACCCTCGCCGCGGTCAAGACTGCTGGCGGATCTCAGGACATTGCTGTTTTCGAAGATAAAGAAGTGAGGAGTTAGCTTTACTCCAAGACAAGTGATGTTTTGCTGTAAGGAGGTAAAGAACCTTATGCGTAATTTAATTTTGTGTGGCTCAGTGGTACTCTGGTCCACGACCTTCCTGTGGAAAGAACGTTGATATATGTCTGCTGTGCTGAAGAACAAAGTAGGTTGTTCGTCAGCTTGTCTCTTGATGCTATTGTTTGTTGAAATTTGTTGATGCCTTTTGTGCATATGATTCTATTCATTTGTTCATCTGCAGCCGTAGACTTGTACCAGGATTGGAAAGGAAGAGGAAGTTCGATTGCGGAAAGCTTATGAGGTGAGATATTTCTGAATTCTATTTCTCTGGCCATGTGTCTGTTTCAGCCTGAATCTGAACTGAAGCCACTGGTCCCGATCTAGCAAATTTTGAGTCCAAATGGTTTCCTTTGAATGTAGGTTGAACCAAATGTATTTTTGAGATTTTTGAGTCAAACGTGGTTTGAGCCAACATCGACATTTTTGCTAAATCATCTAAATCTATAGTGACGGACACTCACTTAGAACGTCATTTATTCTTCCATTTTTTCTCTGACTTGGACCTTGGAACAAGTTTTCTTCATCACACTTATATGGAACATTAAATTGAGAACGTCAAGAGTTTTGACCTACAACCATATTCTAAGAGTGGGGCTCTGTGCACCCACTACTGGTAGTACTTAAATACAACACATCACTTGAAGAGCAGCTCTTTCAATCTTCTTTTTGCTGTCCGTGCTCGATCAAATCACACCGGTTTCGTTGCCCGAGACTGGCAATGCTTGCATATAAACCAATCCACACCAAATAGTAGGGGACACTTTGTCCAAGCTCGCCCGAACCATGTTGCTGTGATGGTCTTGATGTAGGCGGAAGTGTTGCGTGGTGCAGACCTGAGGGCTGCTTTGGAAATCCAGGCACTAGCGTGCATGGAGGGTTCAAGTCCCAAAATCATTTGCTTCACTGATGACTTCATGGGACTGGATGGCTTGCAACTTCTTGAGAAACTCTCATCCCTGCTTGCTTTGTTTCCAAGATATTTTTGTACCGAGCCTTTTTCCAGAAATCTATCCCAGTGTCTCTTGTCCTTTTGTTTCACAGTTGATCCTGCAACCGCAACATGTGCCAGAAAATCTGGCGAGCATGGAGAGCATCTCAAGTAGCGAAACCTTTTTGCCGCCAGGAGAAACACCATGCAGATTTGGTTGCATGGCGTGCAGAACAGCAACTTGCTGAGCAGGACAATTCCTGGCGATCTAAATGGGATCTAATTACAGAAGGGAACAACATGGAATAACCACAATGTGCACAAGACTGCGCAAAAGCTAAGATCCCACATGGCTGTGCAAGAATGTTCATCCAACCCTTTTGAAGCCGGAAAATTGTGTGGAAGTGGTTGCAACCAGAATCAAACCGGCCATGATGTACAAGTGGTCTGGGTGGATCAACTCTTGAAAGGTTTCCGACTGCCGAGTCAACCTCTCAAATGTGCGGAAGTTGTATCAACTTGCTGTCCTGCGGGATTGTTCCAGCACCTGTTACGCAGTCTCCACCTTTCCTGCTCTTCTGAAGTCCTTCCGTGCAACCTTTCCTTCGGTGTTTGTTAGTCCAATCTCCGATGAGTTTTGCACTCGCTTTCACACATCAACATCAACCATTGCTTGCCCTGAATGAAGCAAACTGCTGTCAGGGTCTTGTGAACCTCATGCTGCAGCATGATCGTTGCACGATGAGCTTTGAAGCCTCAGACTCAGTATGTGGTGCTTGTCAGGACTTTTCCACTCAGCTGATGCAGCAAGTGTACAAACACACAGACAAAAGACGACAAAACCACAGGAATTTCACCGCAGCTCTTTAAGCTCTTGCGTTTTCTGGAAGAGCATCCTAAAGTGATATAAAGCCCGAATTTTGGAATAGCAAAAAAAGGGCTCTTTGATGCCCTTTGACCTCTGAACAGCAGGTTGAAAACAACGTTGCATGGAGGAACAATACCAACACTCAGAAGCAGACGAAGCATCAGGGAAGCCTTGATTACAAAGCAGAAGGCGAAGCAAGTTACTTGCTGCAAGTAGTTCAGTGAGTTTGCTGTACAAAACTGTACATTTAGGTTCTACATGTAGGTTCCAGGTTCTACATTACATATCATTACATCATATTACTTCATATTACATTAATTTACATGAATATTTACATTATGATTTCTTGTAGCACCGAGGATCCCAGGTAGTCCAGGGTCCAAGCAGTCCTGGTGCCGTAGAGCAATGCTCTCACTTGGCTTCGAAGTCTTACCCAAGGGCATCGAGGCGTTTTCATAAGTGGCTAAGTGGGGTGGAAAGAACCTTGCAGAGACCAGAAAAGTCCAGAAAAATCATGAACAATCCAAGTTCATTGGTGAAAGAGCGCTGCGGTGATTGAGTCCTCGGAATGTTGAGTGGTTGAGTGATGTTTAAAAGGTGCTGCTGGGAGCGTATCGCTGATATATATATATATATAGATGTGGCCCACAACATGGTACAAAGAACTGAAGGGCACAATAACTTTCTACAGTCTATGGCTGCGTGAAAGCCTATCATTTAAGGACGAATCCGTACTGACCTGAATTTGGAGGTTCCTCTGTTCCGACCCAAGAATATTGTGCATGGAAAAAACATTTCCTGCCCCTCTTTCCATTCCTTGTAAACATGGACAGAACAGTCTTTTTGAGAGTGGCAATGACACAGCTAGTGAGTTTCTCAGTACTTTGGCCAATGAACGAGTGAGTGGAGGGGAGTGGAGGGGAGTGGAGTGGGCCAAACGTGTGGCTTGGCTGGAGAACTAGTTGTTCGAAATGTGAGGAGTGGTTGCAATTTTGACCTTATAGTCACTCTTATATCCTAAGTTTGCCAAATGATGGATGTCTCTTATCATCAACAAATGCTCTTGACATTGGAGGATTTGGACCCTGCGTGCTCGGACAGGTGAACCTTGACGCTGCGAAGCAGAAAACGGTTTGTTTTAATTTGGCCCTGCAAATTCCGTGGGATGATCTGGCACAGGCTCGGTGCTTGACTGCGAGTTTTAAATATGGTAACAGGTAACAGTTGAGATAGAGCTGATGGTAACAGATTTGCAACGGCAACAAACCTCTTCGTTTTTAATCACACCCCTAAACCCACCTGTTTTGTTTGAACTGCGAGCCTGCGCTGACCTTTTTGGTGGCAAACAGGCAGTGACCTCTGCGCTTGAACCTGCAAGGGTGGGGTTGGCTTCTCATTCAAGCAGTCTAGGATGGCGCGAGCGAGTGTTGGTCACTTGAACAGCCAGTTGAGATCTGTTGAGGGTATAGGAAAGAGATGGAAAGAGTCTTGGAGTCTTGGAAGTGTCTTCAGGTATTCTGATATACCAAAGATATAACATATATATATATATGTGGAGGGGACCTTTATGTATAGAATGACGGGGTTCTGAAACCACAATACTGGCACCTGCAGCTCACTTTTTTGGGAAACAAATGTTCTCACAAATGAACATGGGTCAAATTTTAAGACTTGAGGGATCACAGGTTTTTAGTTATTGTCAGGTGAAGGTCTCTAGACTTCTCCACAGCTTCTTGCCCTCCCCCCTCTCCACCTACAAAGGAGAAAGACGTAGAGGGGGTGAAGCAGGTGGAAAGTTGTGGGTGGAAGGGTAGGTGGAAGGGGTGGATACGGTTGGAGAGGTTGGGTGAAGATGATGCTAGGGTGATGCGAGGGTGGAGCGAGGTTGGAGCGATGGTGGAATGAAGGGTGGGGTGTGGAGAAGGTGATCAAAAATTGATACCAAGTACAAGGATACATCTACTGTATTTATTCACATCCTTTGCGCGATCCACTCCTTGGGATTCTCTTCTTCCCTTTTCACTTTCCAGCGGCTTTTTCTCTTCTCTCCCCCTCTCCACCCTTCTACATGTCCATCTCCGCTCAATACCCTCATTCCTCTTTCCGAAAAGAATCTTAGGGGCAGAAAGTGTGGAGAGGAGTGAGCAGGGATGGAAAGCGGAGAGAATTAAATGAAGTTGGGGTGATGGGCGGGGTCACGATGAAGAGTTGGGCGGTGGGCGTAGCGAAAGGCAGATGGATGGAGAAAAAGAACATGTACATCAAATAGATGCAAGCAATTCATCCTGACTGCTTTCTTATCTAGCCGTTTCTTTCTTCAAAACTACTTTAAAGTTCAATTGTGATTGCCTTTTCCAGCTCCATCTTATATTTGCTTGCAAAGATCAAAATTAAAATGTATGTCTACTTTCTTTTTTGGACATACTTTTCAATGTGCATTGGAACAAGTCTCTTAAGACATGATTCAAAAGCAGCAGTGCCATTACAAAGCATAGGGTGGACTAAGGCATTTTGCCTCTCAGGCAATGTAAAAGTGCATGCTTTTCGTTGCTTTTTCTGTGAGGGGGGAGCGAGGGCGGAGCGAGGGTGGAGTGAAGGGTGAAATGAAGGGTGGAGTGAAGGGCTGAGAAGGTCGCCAAAAATTGATACAAACGATAAACGATGCATATTTATTTCGTTTTTTGCTTGATCCACTGCTTGTGCTCCTTCCCTTGCCTTTTCACTTCTCCGCAAACTTGTTCTCTTCCATCCCCCTCTCCACCCTTTACATGTTCATCTCTGCCTCCACTCAACACCTGCATTCCTGTTCTGAAGATAAGGTGCTAGGGGACAAAGGGGTGAAGAGGAGTGAGCATGCATGGAAAGCGGAGAGGGTTAAATGAAGTTGGGGTGATGGGCAGGGTCGCGATGAAGGGTTGGGCGGTGGGGTGTAATGAAAGGCAAATGGGTGGAGAGAAACAAAAATACGATACATACATAAACAGTTCATCCGGAACGGAAAATGCAAAAAAAATGCAACTTCCAACTTGCGACGTTGCATTTTCTCCGCTGCATTTTTTTGCAACTTTGATCAACTTTTGTATTTTTTGTACGAAAAAAAACGTAAAAAATGCAAACAAAAATGCAACGGCACCAAAACAAATGCAACGGAGAATGCGAAAAAATGCAACTTCCAAAGTTGCATTTTCTGAGTTGCATTTTTTTTGCAACTTGCGACGTCGCATTTTCTTAGCTGATTTTTTTCCTTTTCGAAACTTGCGACATTGCATTTTCTAATTTGCTTGTATTTGGAAAGCTCCTCCAACAAGCAACACATTTAGGGGCTGGCAAACTGAGAAAAATCTCACTCCCAACCCTGAGTCTCCAAAACTAGTAAATTGACTAATTTAGTAAATTTACTAAAAGGGAAGAATTTACGTATTTTTTTCTCCAGTTTTCTTGATGTTAGTAAATTTTGTGAAAAACCAAAAGTGCATCATAGTGCATCAAAAGTGCATCGACCGTGCATTTTTTTCTTAGCATGTTTGATTGAAATTGTGATTTTGTAACACAAATGCAGCAGCATTTTTTAGATTTAGTGAATGTTGTTTTAGTTCACAATGTGACAATCCAATTTTTCCATAACAAAGGATTGGTTTTGTCACATACTTGTATGTTTAATGGATATGGCCAAGTAAAGCCAGAATCTTTGCAAGTGACCAGTCACGTAAGGACTTTTTATAGATTGCCAAAAGTAAAGTCAATATTCTCAGCACAACCCATCTCAAGTAAATTCTCTGATGGAAACATGTCTACCCTAAGTCTCCAAAGCTAGTAATTTCACTAATTTAGCAATTTTACTGATCCAGAAGATTTTGCATAATTTTTTTTGTGGATTTTTGCAGAATTAGTAAAATGTAAAAAAAAAGGAAACGTGCATCAAAAGTGCATCAAGAATGCGCCAAAAGATGTGTGATAGCTTTTCCGAATTTCCGTGAATCTGATAGTGGAGACAGAAGGAATGTCCAAATGTTGTGAGGAATGTGAAGAAATTAGCATGTGGAACCTGTATAAGTTTATGTCCTTTGAGTCCTTTGCTGCAAAATGTAAATACCATGAAAGAAAAACAAAATTTCTCCCAGTGACTTCTCAGGTAAAAGTAGATGTTCTGAAGTAAAGTCATCTTCGCAAACGATTTCTGAAGAAAAAAAATATGAAATAAATTCAATGTAATACATATTGAAGGTATATACTTGACGTTATTTTGGCTCGTTGGCTTTTGCGGTTTCTTGGTTTTTGCATTTTTTACTTTTGAGTTTATTTGCATGCTTTTGTGAGAGGAATTGACATATGTTTTCAACAAGTGTCCTAATTAGCCCTTTTTTGGGCTCTGAAAACAGTATTTCAGGACACTTGTTGAAACCTATTCTCCCACTATATCTACTTGATTTGTGTTTCACCACGTTTTCCATGACTGTCACGGTTCTGCCTCAACATACGTTCCATATGGTCACAAGATGCATGTTGCCCAGTATTTTTCTCAGCCAAATCTTCTCCACGCGGACCTCCAAAATAAAATAAACATAATAAAAAAAATAAAAATAAATAAAATAGATATTTATTTTATTTATTTTATTTATTAAAATTTGGAGCTCCTGAGAAAATAAATAAAATAAATATTTATTTTATTTTTTTTATTTTCTCCGGAGCTCCAAATTTTAATAAATAAAATATAAAAAATATATATTTATTTTCTCAGCCAAATCTTCTCCACACAAACCTCCAAAATGAAATAAATAAAATAAATTAACTAAAAAAAATTAAAAAAATAAATAAAATGAATATTTATTTTATTTATTTTATTTATTAAAATTTGGAGCTCCTGAGAAAATACATAAAATAAATA